CTCCTGTGAGCATCCTGAAACCACTCACAGGAGGTTTCTGTGTCAGAGTCTGATAGCAGCTCCAAAGGCTCCTACCGAGCTATATAAATTTGATTAATAAATAACAAGTAATATCCACCCTTTCCTGTGGAAGACAGAGCCGCAATTATATGGTAAAATCACCAGCTGAAGAGGAGGGGTCCTCTTACTCTAGGCAGAGTAAAGAGACATTCCAACTTAGTGTCTGCTTAGGGGAAGAAACACCTGAAGTCAAACTTAGGTCTATATTTGCTATTTCCTAAGGGAAGGCAGACAGTCTGGAAAGATTCTCTTAATTTAGGTGATGAGCAATAAATAATCTGTTTGGCCAATGTTCTGGTTACTTGCACTTCACAATTTAATGCTTATCATTGTGTAGATTGCAACCTTTTTTTAATGAGAACTAGAATCTGAGTTTTCTAAATTAAAACCCAACTCTCTAAAACCGATTCTTTATTTTACTATAGATTGCCTGGCTTGTTGCAATTAGAATGTAACTTGAATGTAGTTATTCGTAATAGCTGGTATAATTTTGCCTTACTTTGTAACTTTGTTCTGAGCTACTAATGCTTGTTCTGAAGTTAACTAGCATGAGTATTTTCCTGAAATGGTATATGTGTTAGGTAACCTATGAAAAGAACAAATTGTGATTGAAGTTTGCAAGTGAGTAGCACTTACTCCACTGTAGCGTTCTGTGGATTACTGACAGAATTCCTTTCCTCGAAGTTTAATATGTGTAAAATGACTCCCGGTCACCATTTACAACTCATTTGGTGTCAACATACAAAGTTCCTCTTTTGTGCCTGTTAATTCTCCTTAAGCAAATGCAAATTCGAATAGCTTAAAGAATTGTTAAATTTAGTTAACAAACAACCAGACAAGGAAGCTTTGGTTAAATTAGGAACATTTTTCAATTTTGTACCGTATGAACTTTTCCTATGATACGTTTTATTGCATTGTTAAAAAGAAAAGGGAGGAATGAATTTATTTTTTTCCCCAAAACTATAAACTTAATTGCTGTGTTGTCAAATTTGCTGTATTTCAGTATTTGACAGGTAAACTAATTTATACTTGCAAGTGACTTGAATGTGCAGATAGACTGATATTATTGGTTAATTATGCTGTTGCAACCATGCATCCTTTTTTTCATTCAGGTATATAAAGGCCTGCAGTGATCAGTATAATTAGTGCTATTATAATATATATTTAATCCAGTGACGTGCAGTCAGGGGAGGCAGGGCCTCACCACTGTTATCATGAAAAGAAAACAAAATTAAAAGGAAAAAGGCTGAGGTAGTTGCTGCCAGAGTCACAGTGGATGACTCTGCTTAGTGCTTAACTGTGTAAAAAGTGCCCTCTTCAGGAGGAGGCGAGAGAACCACGGTGCCTCCTTTAGTCTATCTTTATGATCACTCGAGCAGAGTTAAGCAAGGGTTAAAAGGCAAAAAATTTCTTATGTAGATGAGGGCACTTTGTTTAGAGGCTTTTTTTAAACAGTTAAGCAGAGTCATCCATTGGAGGCTCTGGCAGCAGCTAATCCTGCCTGACCAGCAGCTCTTGCCTTTTCCTTTTTACATTTTTTTACATTTTCATCATGGGAGACAAGAGGAGGGTTGAAATCCTCTGTGAAACAGCTGGAAAAGGTATGGGGGGCGGGGGGGGGGGGGGGG